TGTTAAAGTTCCCTCTAAGCAGCTCTCCTGGGCTGGATTCTCATAGTTAAGGTTTTATAAAGCCAAATGAAACTGAATTTTTTTAAGAAGAGTAGTTTTTGTTGTTTTATATAACTTGAGACTTAATAAATATGACATATCATTCCATATATCAATAACATCAAGCAGAATTGTACAGTTGCTGCCACAATCCGTTTCCAACCATTCTTTTTCTATGAGAAACTGGTTTTTTTAAGCTACATTTAATTCACATGGTAACACAACTGGATCTTTGGAATTCTCAACTTCTGTGTCGCAGCTTTGGTGGCGTTGGGGTTAAACGCATGACCTCTGTGGCCGTGGGCCTGGGTTCGACTCCAGTGCAGCCATTTCTACTGCGTGACCCTGAGCACATGACTTAACATCGTGTTTCAGTTTCCTCATCTAAGGAGTTTTCGTTTTACTTGGCTTCCCAACCAACCATCATGAGAGCAGCTATCAAGAAACCATACGTGTGACACTGCGGAAATCTGCTGCCAGACCTCTTTAAAGCGGAAAGATTCACTGTGAGGACAAAGGTGTTCCTCTACCAAACCCAGGTGTTTACAACAGCCGCTTGTGCATAGGAAAGATGGACGGTGAATAGGGAAAACCAAAGAATAATTGAAGTATTATGGTGCTGGCAAATCATATTGAAAGTTCCGTGGATTGCCAGAAGAACAAAAAAATGTATCTTGGACGAAATAAAGCCAGAATACTCCTTAGAAGCAAGGGTGGCGAGATTGTTCTCAGGAGAGATCAGTTCCTGGAAAAGGGTCTCCTGTTCAGTAAAGTACAAGGTCAGGACAAAGAAAGATCCTCGTGAAGTTCAATGGACACGCTGGTTGCAACAATGGCCTCTCACAATTGTATGTCAGGGAACGGGCTGCATCCTTCTGTTGTATAGAGGGTCTCTATGAGTAGGAACTGATGAAGAACGTAATTAGGATCAATAATAAACTACCCTGATAGGGTCGATGTGAAGATTAAATGGGTTAGTCCAATGGGGAAAGCTGAGAACTAATTATAGCTGGCAGTAAATGCTAACTATTATGCTACATACCAAGGAAGTCATCTGTGACTCTGAGTGGTATGCCCACCATGGAATTGCTGTAAGCTTCAATACGTATTGGAAGCATTGAATCACAAAATTAATTACATCATATCACAATGTCACCCAAAGAAAAGCTATAGTATGGTTTCTGAGCATATCCCTTTATTCACAATGCAGGCTTTGGGTTAGGAATTGCATATATAAAAATAAAGAAGATATGAATCCTTTTTTCTTCCTCCTCTTCTTCTCCTCCTCCTTCCCCTCCCCCTCCCCTCCCCCCTTCCCCCCCCCTCCTCCTCAAAAGCAATTGTAGTATGACAATGTTAAAATGGCAAAAGGGGAAGGAATTATATTGGAAAAGAAAAAGGAATCAGCAATGATTAGTAGAAATGCAAACTATGAACTCAGTGATTTCAGGAAACTTAAGAGAAGGACAAGAAGAAACCTTACATTTGCACAAAGGCAAAAGTGAGACAAGCCAAGAACTTAAGTGGAAGAGGGTCTCCACCCGCAGCACTCATGCCCCACAGCGTGGGGCTCCCTCCCTTTTTATATGGCCTTATTTTAAAACTGTATTAAACCGGCAAGTGAAGCTAACCGTAATTACGTGCAAGGCCATGGGCAAGATCAAACACTCGTCAGATTCTTGAGATACTATGAGTATCTTGCTACTCCCTCTGAATCTGGTAGCTCAGTCTGAAGCAGCCACAGAGTCCGGCGTGTCTCCCTGGGGGCAGGGCGTTCAGGAGTGAATTTCCCTGCCGGGCAGCCCAGGCAAAGCGAGGAGTGCGCGCCCTCTGCTGGCGCCTGTTCTGTTCCAGCTGCCACCTCTGGCCCCTCTCCCAGAGCAAAGGGCCCACCAGCACTCACTGGAAATAGATTAACTGACATCCTTCCTTAGATAACACCATTAGAATTTGCTTAAAACTAATTTCTTTCCCAATTGCTTTTCTGTTGTTTTGAGTGGAGGGAAGGGAAATGCTGGAGGTGAAGTATGTTCTACGTGTTCTTAAAAAACACAAATTAGTTGTAGCTAGAATGATGGCTCTAAGTATGTAATTAAGTTGCGTATACTTATCAGAACTTATAAAGTTGAGTCCTAGGTTTTAGGTTGTGGTGGTTGTTGTTTATTTTTGTTTTATTCTTCTCTTCTGCCCACTTTTTAAAGAAATAAATCACAATGACAACAAATTACATGACTTTACTTTGAAATTTGTAAGAAACACTTAATGGTCAAATATGGAGTTAGAATTATCAACCTAACACTTACATACATTCTTATATACAGGCCTCTGTAATAATATTTAAGGTACCTAGTTATTAGCCAAGGAGTTTTGGTGGTACACTGGGTGAACATTCGGCTGGTAACAGAAAGGTCAGCAGTTCGAACTCACCAACAACCACCAGGAAGAAAGGTGTGTTTTCTGCATCTTCACACACCACAACCTTGGAGACCCTGTGGGGCAGTTCGACTCTGTCCTACAAGTTGGAATGGAATCTATGGTAATGAGAGTTTAATATTTAGTAACACGTGCAACCAAAATAACTTCTGACTACATCCTTCCAGTATTTCATTTTAAGAATATGTTTTATGGCACTACTGAAAAATTGTATACAAAATGTGAAATGAATAGAATTCAATCATCTAGGAAAATAAATGTTCTCTATACTTGTCACATCTTTAAAATCAGCAAAAGGGAGACTACAGGAATTTGGAAGAAAATGACCATTATGATAAAACTGATCTGACGTCTAGTATATTCTTTTTATTTGCTTATATTGCATAATCTGGATAATTTTGCATGTTAAAATGGAAAGTAGTTCTTTGGCTTTTATTTTCCTGAATAATAATATGCTAATATGATTTTTATGAGTCTTTTATAGGTTCATTTTGAGGGGCATCAATTAAGGTGTCAGGTTTTGCCAACATGTATGAGTTACTGGTGCTTTCTACACTGTTTTTAGTTTGTTTTAAATGTGAAATGATCCTCATTTCACTACCTGGACATAAAAAGCCAGGCTTCAGGGCAATTTTGTAAATAGCCTCTGCTATTCCTTTTGATGAATACACATTTGCAAATGTGAACTGCAAGCATATTTATAGACGGCAAAGTATTCCATTAAAACACAAATATTCAGCTGGAGATTCCCTAACAGCCTCTTGGTGTTGGTTCGAATAATCATTCTCTTCTATCCCACTTCTGTGGATGTTCATGAGCTGCCTCTTCTCTTCATTTTTTTTTAATCTAGCCAAAGCTACCTGCAAGCTGCAAGCGATGTGCCTGGTGGTCACAACTTGGACCCCTCTGCCAACTACAACTCCCCAAAATTTCGCTCCCGGAACCAGAGCTACATGAGAGCTGTCAGCACGCTGAGTCAGGCCAGCTGTGTGAGCCAGGTTGGGAATTGCTTTTCATTCTCTCTCTCTTGGGGCTTCACTTCTCAAGCCATAATGTAAACAGGAGTTTCCCTGCTGATGGTACAAACATCTCTAGTCAAAATACATGAATAATATGAATGCACTTGGAGTTGCTGCCTGGAATTCCTTTTGACTGATTAAAATGTCATGCACTTCCCAAGATTGATCATGTCTCCAAAATGTATTACTCTATAGCATTTTGCCATTGACTTCATCATAGTAATGAATGACTTACCAACTCGTCATCTCACCCTCTTTAGTTTACTTAGTACAGAATGTTTCCCTTTGCCCCAAGACATTTTTCTAATAAAATGAGCCCATGGGAAGGTTCTATGGTAACTTTGACCTGAGGGTGGTGACTTTCAGCCATGTCTTTCAAAGTGAACCACTGACGGTCTAGTAAGTAGAGTTGTAAAGATGTCGTGGTGTTGAATGTCATTCTTGTCAACGTGCCTTTGTAAGCAAGACTGGGTTGCCCAATAAGCACAGTAAGCGCTCATGCTTAGGCATCAACGAAACCAAGACACCAGTTGCCCAAAGCAAAGACCCACAGATGGTCAGCAGACAGAACTTAAAGAAAAACCATTGTCACAGTGGAAGGAAACCTGTAGGCACCAAATGAACCTGATAACAGCCCCAGCTCGGGAGAATGTACCAGCAAGAAATAAAATTCACACCCGGTGACCAAGGCGTCATGGGCAAGGCTGTTTAAACTGTGAAGCCCCAACCACTTCAACACCTTCCTTAACCTCTGTCCCCCGGGCTCCCCTGCCGTGTACTCGAACTCCTTCACTAGACAAGTCTCTAAAGGGCATGGTTTTTGTTTTCTAATAAACAGGAGTTGGGGTGGGCTTTTTGCTACATTTATTCAATACACAACTGGATCCAACCTGAGTAGTTATTGGACAGATTATGCTAATAGATTATGTTAATAATGTAACATAATAGATTATGTCAATATGCCTTTTGAGAGAACTGTCATAGACATTCATACGTGCTGATCAAGAAGCTCTGGCCAGGAGGGTCAGCGATGCTTTTTGCCCTGGTACAGACATGAGGTACAAGAGCGTGGAGGAAGGCGAGGCTTTTACTCCCAGGGTTACAGTCTCGGAGCCACAGGGGCAGTGGTGCTCTGTCCTAGAGGGTTCCTCTGAGTCTCAATGTACCCGGTGGCAGGGAGAGAGACACAAGGGCTGCACTCACACACTTCGTGATAAACAACCCATGGGCATGCCCGTCACAGATGGTGTGGAAAAAGCAAGGGAATTCCAATAACCCAACCACCACCATGAAGCCAATCACCTTACTTGGTATCTGTATAGCATTCAGTGACAGTTCTGTCCAAAGTTTATTAAACAGTAATATTTATAACTTTAGTGTGAAAATATCTCTGGCATACATGGGGATGTACTCTAGGACTCGTTTAATACAATACTAACATAGGTAAAAATTTAAGTTTATGGTAGCATAGCAAACATCAAAAAATAATGATAATATTAATATTTTTCTAACATAAATGTTTTAGTTTATGTATCAACTGAGTTTCATTTTTATTGTCTATTTGCTAGATGAGGCGTGGTGCATGATCTTCTTATTCCATAATGCTAGTAAATAAGGTATTAGGCATACCTCACTTTGGCATTCAGTCATTAAAATTATCTTCACATTGAAAAAGAAACTACATCAGAATATTTTATAACAATCAATAAAAGTATTTTGCTTCACATCTTTTTTTAAGCTCCAAAATAAATCATAACACCTCCATTTATCAAGTGGCCCCCACCCACAATTAAATGTGAAGTGCTTTTTAAGACAAATTTCAATTCTTTGAGATCTGGAGAAAAAATAACAATTTGTATCCCAAGTACCGAACACTCACAAGTACACACAAATGCATGTGTTTACATAGCTCACATATCCCTTTCAACTGAGGGGGATTTGGAAAGGAGGGAATCACAGGTAATCAATGTTTAAGAAACTTACCTGGTTTAAGCCAACCCTGTTTGTGAGGCTACTCCCTAGGTTAACGTGTGCTTCTGGATAGCGGTTGCTGTTAGAGGCCACTTGAATGGTTCCCACCCATAACAACCCTCTGCACAGCAGAACAAAACACTGCGTGGTCCTGCAACATCCTCATCATTGTTCTGTGCTGAGCCCACTGTTGCAGCCACTGTGTCAACCCATCTCCCCGAGGGCCTTCCTCTTTTGTATTGCCCTTCTGCTCTACCAAGCATAATGTCTCTCCAGTCACTGGTCTCGCCCGATAACATACCTAAAATACGTAAGACAAGTCTCGCCATCCTTGTCTCTTAAGAGCGCTCTGGCCTTACTTTTTCCAAGGCAGATCTGTCTGTCCCTTTGGCAGTCCATGGTATTTTCAATATGCTTCTTCAACACCATAATTCAAATGCATCCATTCTTTGGTCTTCCTTATTCAAGGCCAACATTCACATCAATGTAAAACCATGGAGAATAGCATGGCTTGGGTCAGGCGCACCTTAGTCCTCAAATTAACAACTTTGCTCCTCAACATGCTTAAGAGGTCTTGGCAGCAAATTTTACCTATTGCAATATATCTTGTGATCTCTTGACTGATTCTTTCATCACAACCAGTGTTGTGGATCCAAGTGAGACAAACTCCTTGACAACTTCAACCATTATGTCACCTCTGTTCAGTTGTGAAAATGTGTGTCTTCTTTACATTGAGTTGTAATCCACACTGAAGTCTACAATCCTTGATGTTCATCAGCAAGGGTTTCAATTCCTCCTCACTTTCAGGAAGCAAGGTTGTGTCATCTGCACATCTCAAGTTAGTAGGTCTTCCTCCAGTCCTGATGGCACATTCTTCTTCATATTACCCAGCTTTGCTGATGATTTGTTCTGCACACAGAAGTTCTGCATTGAAGAAGTTTGATGAGAGGATGTAGCCCTGAAGCACACTTATTCTGATGTTAAACTATGCAGTATTCTCTTGTTCCCTTTGCGCAACTGCCATTTCATCCATGCTCAAGTTCCACAAAGGCAAAATGAAGTGTTCTGGAATTCTCATTCCTCTCACGGTTATCCAGTTTGTTACAATCCACACAGTGGAATGCCTTGATAGAGTCAATAAAACACAAATAAACACCTTTCTGGTATTTTCTCATTTCACCCGACATCAGTAATCCTTTTCTGAATCCATCCTGCACCTCTGGCAGCCCCCTGTCAATGTACTGCTGCAATAGCTTTTGGATGATCTTAAGCAAAATTTCACTTGCATGTGATATCAATGATACAGTTCCATGATAGAGTTATCAGTTGAGTCCCCTTTCTTTGGAATGGGTAAAACTATGGATCTATTCCAGTCAGTTAGCCAAGTTGATGTCTTCCAAATTTCTTGGCATAATTGAGTGCTTCCAGTGTTTCATCAGCTTGTAGAAACAATTGGTGTTCAATTAGCTCAATTGGTATTCTATCAATTCCTGGAGCCTTGATTTTAGCTAATGTTTTCAGTGCAGCTTGAACTTTTTCCTTCAATACTATGGATCCTTGATCATATGCTACCTCCTGAATTGGAGGAATGCCAACTAGTTTTGTTTTGTTTTTCGTATAGACACTCTGGATATTCTTCCCATCTTCTTTTGACGTTTCCTGAATTATTCAATATTTTGCCCAGAGAATTTTTCAATATTGCAACTCAAGTCTTGAACTCTCTCTTGAGTTCTTTCCATTTGAGATATGCTGTGTGCTGTTCTTCCTTTTTGGTTTTCCAACTCCAGGTGTTTGCACATTTGATTACAAGATTTGACCTTGTCTTCTCCAGCTGACCTTTGACATTTTAACTATGGATATTGAGCTTCTTCAATATCTCTTCCCACAGATATAGTCGATTTGACTTCTGTGTATTCCATCTGGAGAAGTCTATGTGTATAGTTGCCTTTCATGTTGTTTAAAAAAAACATGAATGTGCTATGAACAAGTCTTGCAAAATCCTATCATGTGATCTCTAGCGTCACATCTATCCCCAAGACTGCAGTTTCCAACTACTGTTCCTTCCTCTTTGCTTCCAACGTTTGCATTCCAATTGCCAATAAGTATCAATGAACCTTGATTACATGTTTCATCATTTTCAGACAGAAGACCTTGGTAGAACTCAATTTCTGCAGCACAAGCTTTAGTTGTTGGTGCATAAATTTAAATAATAGACTTATTGATTGGGTTTCTTTGAAGGCAGACAGGTATAAACCTGTCAAAGACAGCTTTGTACTTCAAGATAGACTTTGAAATGCTCTTTGGGATAATGCAATGCCATTTCTCTTGATTGTGTCATTGCCAGCAGAGTAAACTAGATGAATGTCTGATTCAAAATGAGCAACATCAGTCCACTTCAGTTCACTAACCCCTGGATGTTGATATTTATGCATTCCACTTCATTTATGATGACTTCAACTTTCCTGGATTCATGCTTTGTACATTTTAAGTCCTAATTATTCGATTTGTCCTGCTGTTTTCTTTTCCCCTTGCATGGTGCCCTGTCAGCAAATGAGGATCTGGACGGATCCACACCCACACTCTTTACTCCATTCCTGTCTCCATGGTCCATTCTACGTGGAGACAGCAGCTCCTTCCCAGTCACATGTCCAGTGCCTTCCAACCCCGGGGGCCCAGCCTCCATCACTATTGCCAAAGGTTCTCCTTCCATTCCTTAGGCCTGCAATGTCTGGCAATGTTTCCATGATATCCATAAGATTTTCAGAGGCAACCTTCTCCAAAATGGGCAGGAGAGTCCTTCTTTGTCATCTGTTCTTAGTCTGGAAGCTAAGGAAATTGCCTTCAAGGAAATCCCTGAAACCTATTCACTTTGATTGACCTTGCTGGCATCGGAAATACCAGTGACATGGTTTTCAGCATCTCATCAACACACAAGCGACCACAGTGCTACATACTGACAGAGAAGTGGCAGTCTTGCTAGGAACTTTTCTCCCTAAGTCCTTAGATGG